GTGGGTTGCCTGCGGACCTGAAACTTGGCTCAGGTTTTCGTGGAGACTGGAGTTTGGGGCTGAGATTTTACAGCTACAATCTTCAACCTTCATTCTCCATTGGATTCTTGGAAACAACTTGTCTTGCATATGTCGTTCATCAACTCCTGATTCAGCGTTGAGGATTTGGTTATGCTCGACACGAGAAACATGTGAAGAACGAATAAGAAGACCTGATGCATAGCGAGGACATAAAACTAAGACTGCGTTCAGGGGTAGTGAGGCTCTGCTTCTCCGAGTCGCAGCAGCCTGGGAGCCTGACGTCGACGGATTGATGGACAGATGGATCTACGGACTGGTGGACTTGCGGACGATTGATACCTGAGACGGACGTCGCGGTGTTGACGGAGGGAGCTTACTGCGGTGAGTTACGTTACGGTGTTGTTTCTCGACTGACTGTGGCAGGTTACGGTAGGCTGCGGTAAGTAGTTGATAGCTAGATTCTCACCACCTGAGAGACAGAATACTGTTAGACGGTTTGTTTGAAACGTACGGTGAGGCTGAATGTTGATCATGATATTCTCTTGGATTATGAGAGAGTCTGATCTTGGGAGGTAACTCGTCTCATTCTATATGATGAACACGATATTTCATGTCTGTATAAAGACTACGAGTCAGTCTCTATCTGAAATTCAAATTAAGGTTCTGTGACTTCGATATCAAATCATCATCACAGCTGGCTAAGACACACATAGCTAAGATACATATCGTAAAGTACACTTCTCAACGTAGAATACCTGAAGGTAAGCTTTCCCCTTCCAGCTCCAGACCATACATTAAAGTATGAGGTTGTGGCTGACTCGAGATGGAAAGTCAAAGCAGCGAAAAACAAAAATGAGTGCAGCCACTGGAACCAAGTCCGAGTCCAAGTCTCTATTCATACCGACCCCATCCGTCTTGACACCATCAACACTATCGACGGGCCATAACAGCAGTGGCTCAACGTCAGCCACCTCCTCGTCTTCGGTATCGAATAAATCCGAGTATTCGTTGGACCGATGGCTGAGTGAAAGTAAGAGAGACTCGCCTTGGAGTTCAGTCGGCGTGCAAAATGATAGTAGCAGAGGACAACGATGAATGGAGAGCAGGAGCCAGGAAGTAGGTTTCGAGCAAGAAGAAGAAGATGCTGGGACCGTCATCTCTCTTTTTCAAATTTCTCTTGGGATGATTGGCCAGAGATTTTCAATGATGGGTTGGTGATAGATGACAATGGACGAAATCAACGATAAGCCGTTGTTCCTTCCGCATCCATCGTATAGCAGCATCATGACCACGATAAAAGCCGAGCTGTCGTATCCATCCTCACTAGCACCCGCCGCACCTTGTCAATGATTCATCCTCGGTCAGGCGAGGTCTATCATATGATTTTTGACTCAACATACGGGGAGGTTACAAGGTGTCGTTATGCGCCACACTTGACCTATATGTAAGGCGGTATTCCTCGGGCCGCACTTTGCTCGTGCGTCTTCCGCGATGACCAGGCGAGAAGCGGGGACTTCGGTGAATTCTCACCAACTACAACACAGCTTATTCGCATCTTATCCGGAACTCGTCGGTGAAAGCAGGCAGGCATTCCTTATGCGCGAGATCCAGCATGACGGAATCACCGAGTATACCCAGCTCAGCCCTAGGTAGTGGGGGTCACCGCGGTCCCAACACAGAGCTCACCAATCAAGATGATATCACCAGATCCGGGACACTGGCACCACCAGGATGGGTACCTGAAGAAGGATCGGGTTTGTCGTCACCTTCAATTTCCGCTACCGCCGAAGGATCTTGCGTCTTCCGCGAGCCATCTTGCATGACGCATCTTCCCGAGTCATCACCGCCATGCGAGCACCACGAGTTTCTTTACTACGACTCTACAATCTTGGCGGCATCCTATGCGCAGGTTTGCTGTGCAACCTGTCAAACAGACAGCTGCATGATGCATGCTTACTCTGCCACGAGGTCGAGCGAACCCGACAGTACGGCACGTAGTCTGGTTCTAGTGCGACATCACAGCCTACCCGACCTAGGCGCTATACGAGATGTGAGACAACTACACAGGGGGGGAGAAGAGTAGCTTGAACAGATATAAAAGGCCATGTGTCACCCGCCTTTTCGAGACTTGAGAATCTACACAACAAGCTCACTCACTGGGATACATTCGCTCAACACATTCGCTTCAACAAAATGATCAAGTCCCTGGTTCTCTCGGCCCACGTTGCCCTCGCGGCAGTGGCAGCTACCGCCGGCCCTGCGCCAGTATCGGCACCTTTGCTTGCATATGACTACGTCCGTCTCCCCTGAACTGCCGCCTTTCCGCTGATATCTGGCTGACTTTTTATCAAGATCATCGTGGGAGGAGGTACTGCCGGCGTGGCCGTCGCAGCCCGTCTGAGTGAGGGCCTCCCGGATGCCAAAATCATCGTCATTGAAGCCGGCCCCGCAGCCCTTGAAGACGAGACCATCAACGTCCCCGGTCTCAAAGGGCAGTTGCTCGGCGGCAAATACGACTGGTCTTTCCCTACCGTCCCGCAGAAGGGTCTCAAAAACCGTGTGGTGATGAACCCCCGAGGCAAAGTTCTCGGCGGCTCATCCGCAATCAACTTCATCACCTGGGACCGAGCCTCTGCCCCCGAATTCGACCAGTGGGCTGAGGTCGGCAACCCCGGTTGGGGTTGGAAAGAAATGGAAGCCGCCATGGAGAAGGCTGAGTCGTTCTTCGGAGGCCCCCCTGGATCAGGCACAAAGGGCCCCATCGACGTGCTCTTCAACCGCAACTCCCCCGACGCTCTTTTAGACACTTATGTCCCGACCATGGGCAAGCACGGTGTCCCTCGCAACGAGGACTCTCTCCAGGGCAACTCCATCGGAGTCGGAGAGCAGCCGGCCAATATTGACCCGGTCTCATACAACCGCTCCTACAGCGCGAACGCTTACCTCCCCATCTCAAAATCGAATCTTAAGGTCTTGACCGATACCCAGGTAGCCAAGGTCAACCTCCGCAAGAAGGGCACCCTCGAACAGGCCACCGGCATAACTTTGGTCAATGGCACCATCATCCAGGCCAGAAAGGAAGTCATCCTCTCCGCAGGCGCCGTTCAGTCCCCGAACCTTTTGGAACTTTCCGGTATCGGCCAAGCCGGCGTGCTGAAAGCCGCCAAAATCCCCCAGCTCATCGACCTCCCCGGCGTAGGCGAGAACTACCAAGAACACCTCCGCGTGCAGACCAACTTTGTCCTCAAAGACAACTTCGTCACCATCGACGAACTCCGGAGCAACACCACCTTCGCCGCAGAGCAATGGCAACGCCGTCTGCGGAACGAAACTTCCTTTTACGATGACGTAGCCTACCGCATGGCCTTCCTAAACTGGAACCATGTTACAGGCGGGAATGACACCTCCCTGACCTCCCTCGCCCGAAAGGTAGTAGGCAACTCCAAAGATGTCGGCCTTCGCAAAAAGCTGGAACAGCTGGCCAATCCCAAGATCCCCCAGGCTGAACTTATTTTCTCAACGGGCTACACGGGATTTGGGGGATACCCACCCGTTGGATCCCCTTTATACGGCAGAAACTTTGTCTCTCTCATAGGAGGGCTAATGCACCCCCTTGGACGCGGAAACGTGCACATCGACCCTGCCAACCCTGTCCTGGGGAAACCGGTGATTGATCCCAAGATGTTGGATAGCGAGTATGACATCCAGGGCCTTGTCGAGATTTTGAAATTCGCGAGGAAGGTGGCAAATACAGAACCGATGAAATCCCTCTGGGAAACAGAATATGAACCCGGGACAGAATTGGTCAAGACGGATAAGGAGTGGAGGGAGTATGTCGTTAATACCACCCTGACGATTTTCCACCCGATGGGGACGGCGGCGATGTTGCCCCGGAGAGATGGCGGGGTGGTGGATAGCAGGTTGGTGGTGTATGGCACGGAGAATCTGAGGGTGGTGGATGCGAGTATAGTGCCTGTGCAAGTCTCTGGACACCCGCAGACGGCGGTTTATGGGATTGCTGAGAGGGGGGCGGAGATTATTATTGCTGATGCGAAGAGGGGGTGAGTTCTCCTCCACTGAGGACTTCTCTACCTCTTCAAGTTTTCTTTCCTTTTTCTTTGTTGGAGGTGCAAATCATAGACTGGTCTCAGGAGCTGGTATAGAGACCGAAAGGGTGTTCAGGGTGGGAAGAGTGGTTGAGCTGTTCCTGGATTAGAGGTATCTGTCTCTCGTTCTATTTGTTTCCTCTTTCTTTCTTCCTCTCTCTTTTAATATAGACTAGATAAGATAGATGCTTTCACTGAGCTGCTTTAGAGGGCATTGTGGTGCTTGACGAGGTATGGGTAGAATAGTTGTCTTGGGCTATACTTCATTTCTTCGTCTTCATCTTCGTCTTCGTCTTCGTCTTCATCTTCGTCTTCATCTTCGTCTTCATCTTCGTCTTCATCTTCGTCTTCATCTTCGTCTTCATCTTCGTCTTCATCTTCGTCTTCATCTTCTTCTCTTCTCTTCTTGCTCTCTTCTTGCTCTCTTAATCTCTCTTTCGAATACAATTTCAACAGTTTCAACAAGATTAGAATTAGGGCGCTCTCAGTGGGCTGGGATGGATATCAACGAGCTGTCGCGGAGAGAAATGATACTTACCAACTTAGGTGGTTGTCTGTGTGTCAGTTTGTTAGTTCCCATCTGTAACCATCCGTCCTCACCCTCCGCACCAACCAATGAAATCTGTCATCCCTCGCAAACTGCGCTTCCCAGTGCCGTGCCTACCCTGATTGTCTGCATTCACACTGTCCCTACCGGATGACGAAGTGAGCAAGCGGGTACATGAGTCACCATCCACCACCATCATCCGCCACCCGCCTCCCAGCCAGGCACCCTACTAACAGACCCTTCTCAAGCCAACCGATTCACTTGGAGTCACAGACTATCAACCCAATTCCTATCCAGTCCTTCACCCACATAACGCCAAAAGGAAAAGCTGCGTGGCGCAACGGTAACGCGCCGCCCTCATAAGGTGGAGATGGCTGGATCGAAACCAGCCGCAGCTATGATTTTCTGTATTTTTTTGGGGTCTTTCTTTCTGGAAGCGCCTTCTTTTTAATCCTTTATATGGGAGCATCTACGTTTCTCTCCCCGTGAATGCTCTATATCAGTACACCTACCTAGGTACCCACCCACACTTTTATCATCATCATCATCATCATCTTGAATAATCTCAAGTCAAGTCAAGACAGTACATATAAAGTTATGTTACACATAGGCATACGGGTGTATAACTTTCATTTCTTTCCCGAGTCTGGTTGGTTTAGAGATCAGGGGCCGGTGTTCTACCCCTTTCTTCTCCTTGACTGACGCCCAGAAGATGTTTAACTTCCCTCCCTCTCCACATGGACAGTTGCCCTATATCAAGCAAGGGCATCAACGACATTATCACCCCTCAGAAAATATTATCACCAGCACCTCAATGTGTACATAACACTTTCGAGCGCAGCGAGGCCCGGGGGTTTGGGGGCTTGCCCCCCTAGATTACGTCCGTATACCATCCATTCTTGCATTCAATATAACTTCTAGTCTACCCTTACTCATAAACATAGCAAAAAGGCCCATCCACAACACTATTCAACTCCCGGATCTTATAAACCTTATTCCCCACCACACCCAAATCAATCAAGTCATCCAATGACTGCTGTCTCCCACCAAAACCCATCATGGAAGTACCACCAGCAATGGCATTAACCCTCTTCTCGTAGTCCTGGCTCTGCCAGATCGTCCACGTCCGGTCAATCATGCCGTGGTGCACCCAGAAAGCGGGATCATTGGGAGAAGTATAAAAGTCACCGCCGGGGTCACCGCCGATGGTGAAATGGCCGGCAGCGTGGACTCCGACGTTCGCGGCAGCGCCACCTCCACCGAAGCCACCACCAAAGCCGCCGCCGCCGCCGCCGGGTCCGCCTTGCATGACGTTCTGGAAGGTGAGGACGTCCTTGCTGTTGTTGATGAGGTTGACGATGTCCTGGGTCTTGCCGCTGCTCATGGTCAGGTAGTTGGAGATGTCACGGCGGAGGCAGCGGGGGTTGTCGCCGTAGCCGTCGGCGCGGGGGTTGGCTGGGGGAGCGGGGTCGATGGCTGGGGAGAGGGGGCCAAGGCGGACGGTCATGCTGTTGGTTCGTTTTATGTCAGTCAAGAATTCCGAGGAAGTGTGGATAGCGGTTAAAGTGATAAAGGGGGTTGTGCTTACTTCTTGAATGGGCCAGTCTCAACACAGCCGCCGCCGTTGCCGGCCGGTGCAAACATTGACGCACGGTGGTTGGTCTTCTTGCCGTTGCCACTGAGGGAAGTGTCACTTCCGTCGAAGATGGGAGACTTCTCGGGGTCAGCGGCCCAGCGGCCCCAGTCCCAGCTGTTTAAAAGTCAGCATGGTACAGCAGGAGACCTGTGGTATAGGGATGGCATACTATGGGTGGCTCCCGGTATAACCGCATTCATTCTTGAGCGCCTCCTCAAAGGCCCACAGGTAGTAACGGTGCCATGAAAGGAAGCTCCCGGTGTTGTGAATGGACATTGTCTGGTTCATGTGGACGACGACAAAGTCCTCGTATCTCGTCTTGGCTCCGGGGAACTTTGCGCGGTCGAGCTTCGAGGGCTTCTCCATGAGGCAGAGCATAGCAGAGATGTATGCCTTCTTCTCGGCGGCCGAGATATCGCCCCTGTGATCATGCGTTAGCACGAGGGTGACACAGAAATTCAAAACTCAGAGGAAGAAAACTTACCATTCCCTGCGAACCTTCAAGTTGGCCTTGGTGCATGTCTTGGACTTTGCCAGAGCAGCGTCAATCTGAGGCCGTCCCTTCTTCTCAAGGTCGTTCACAGCGTCTGCAGAGGCCACGCCCGTGAGGAGGAGCCATGGCACCGCAAGGAGTGCAAAGACTGAAAATCTCGCCATGGTGGAGTGTTGACCCAGACAACTCAAATTGCCCGAGTAGACTCGTCAGGAACGGGGACAAGAGAGGACCCGACCCTGTAATATAGAAATGAGGCTCTTGCTAGCCATTTGATTTCCCGTTCTCTGTTCAAAGTTTTCGAACCTTCCATGCATACGGCCTTTCCCTTCCTTCACCCCTAACACTCAACCCAACGTCCATGAAGGCTAACCCTCCCTGGGTGGCTTGTTCGGCAAGTATAGATCCGTTATAGACTCCGTGATCCATTTTGAATGTAGTCAAAACAACCAAAACAGGGTTGTTATAAACAAGGATCGTCGCCAACGGCGGCTGTGACCACGAATGACCAGTCATTCTCGGATCGCGGCAGATGGCGGCGTAGCCTCGATTGCGGCGGATTCACACAGGCTCATATTGACGACACAGTCCCACCGACTTGGACGTTCGGCTCGCTGGTCCGAGAATAGCCATATTCAGTAGAGAAGCAAATGAGGGCGGCTCATCTGCCGGTGCGAACACATGCTGTGAAACATCGAGACCTGGAGGGTGGAACCCGTGAACTAGGTTCAGAGTATCCAGCTCGCCGGGATAAATGTCATGGAATGACCGCTACGCTGCCGACTGGTTCGCGTAGTTTCTATGTCAATATACTCTGTGAGTATCATTCGTCAACGGGCAAATCTGGGGTAAATAGCCTGAGTGTAAAAGGGGGTTGCGCCCCGCAGGTTCGGAAAATATCCTGAAGCCTCGCCCAGGTTTTTAGACTTACCTTGCATGCTCGGTTGCGTTCGTCTGCATTCGCGTGTCCTTCTGTAGCTGCACACGATATCATCAGTGGTCGGAGGATGAGAAGGAAAATTTCCCTGTCGGTGTCAACCTGTCCATGCGGCAGCCACCCTATGGCCGAACGAAGCCGAGTTCAACTGCCTGCTGAGATTGTCGCTCATTCAATTCTTGCTCAGTGGGTCGTCGTCGCAACAATGTTATCTATTCTGTTGCTTTCTTTCACTTGGCAGAGCATCGTGTACTGTTGGCTCTTTATGAAAACGCTCATCAAGAAGGAAACACGCGTCTCTGTTGAATTCTGCCGGTAGGTCTGCCGCAATGGGCAGGTCAATGGGGCCTTGAAAAGGTTACCGGGTGTTCTCTATCCCGGAATAGCGACATATTAAGCGATAGGAATTGCAGAGATTGCGATGAAACCCAGAAGTCAAGAGGAGACACTAGGCGCCATGGACTTGGGAGGCCTTCCGCAAAATTGGTTAAGAGAAACTAGAAAGCTAATGAGCTTAAAGATGAAGATAAGCCAAACGAAAGACAGCGCGAACCACGTGTCGTTTTCGTGCTTGATATGCGGGCCAAGCCTATTCAAAGACTGAATTTCGCCATTGATTTGAAATTCGAAGATGATTCTAAAATATTCGTTCCTGTTGTCTCGTGAAAGACCGGAGAAAATCAAGGACATTGTTTTCACAGAATCAAAGGAGGAGATCCAAGATCGCAAGCGCCCTGGGCAAAGGTGAACAATAACGTCGGTCATGCCCATTTCAGCGGAACGAACGCACCTCAGAAGCGAGAGAACAACAAGAAGCAGAGGTTAGCAAGTCGCACAAAAGCTCAAAGACAGAATCAAAGAAGGTTCGAGCATTTGCCAGCCGACATAAGGTACGAGCAGTGACCTGATGAACTGCACTGGCACCGCATGTTCGAGAACATTTGTATCCCCCTGCAGCAGACAACTCGGATGAAAACCGAGATCACGCCATTCATTCAGCTTTCGCTTGCTCTTGTTCCCTCCTGTGACCAACCTTTACTGAGACTGGCAGGAACTACTCATCGGATGGATCGAATTCTTAGACCAAGCCCACATGATTGCTCAGGTTCCATTTCCCTTTATCGAGGCTTTCCTTCCTTTCAGATGATCATTCTAATCTTTTGAAGAGTCATCATTCAACTATCCCTGTGAAGTTCGACTTTCTATTCATTTATCATGGCAGATCAATGTTTGCTCTGCTAGGGTAGCATCATTCCAGGCAATGCAAGAAATGTGATTCAACTTTCTACTATATTCTCCTCTACTCGAATATTCTGTCCAATTCGACGTAATAACAGCGACCCCTCGCATGTAACTTGCATGTCGTTGAGAGGCGTCTCGCTGTCCTGGCTCACTTATTGAACATGGGCGATGCTCAGGTTGGGATGACAATCTCATACTCAGCTGGTTTGTGGAGGGAGCACGCATGAATGAATGCATGCAACTCAGTGTTTCTCAATGACAACAATGCTTATTCTTCTTCTTCTGAGTGCGGTCCTCGGCTGCTTTTGTACCTCCACCTCAAGTCATTGTAGAATTCAGATGATCATCCCTTCAGTTGTTGATGACACAAATCATATGATGTGTGCCTGACACAACGTGGGGGAGCAAGCATAGTCTAGTTGATGGGACGGACGAGGAGGGTCCATACTGACTGCTTGAGTTCTCGAGTCCTTCCTTCTTCGCATGTCTCAGTCACAATTGAAGAGACAGTTGCTAGGTACTTCACCTAAGGTATCCAAGAACATTTCACACTTGTTTAACATAATCATACCCGGTTTCTTTCCTTTCCATTCTATTCGAAGATAACTAGGTATGAACGTGATCTGCACTAAGGACCCAGACACCCGGCACAGAAGGTCTTGTCCACACCGAATAATATCATATCGTCGCAGCAAGGTTCATCAAGTTAAGGAGCTTGTCTTGGGAGCATTTGTGCTGGGTGAAACATGCCCATCCTAGGCCGTTAATTATCAACCCAAGCACACAGGATGGAGCTCCAAACTGGCTCACTGGTCGACCACTGCAGACCTATTCATCCCAATTTGACCTTGGTTTGTTTGCTCTCGGTGGCATTGAGCTTCAGATGCCGAATCAGCCCGGCGTCCTGTCGGGAAGAGGTCTGCTTTGATTTCGGGCTCCTCTTCACTATTTCTTCTCCTGCCTGCTCCTGCTCCTTGAAACTTTCTCGTTTCCTTCTTCCACTCCCGTTTCTCTACTTTTTCCGTTGCCGCCGAAAGATTTTTTTCTGCCTTCATCACAGCACTCATCTTGCCATCAGAGGTAAGTCTTT